TTTTATTCAATTGATTTAATTGATTTTCGTTTTCATTTTCATAATTCAATTCAGCAAGCTCAGCATCAAAAGTAGTAGTATTAGAATTTTCTTCTGGATTTAATAAATTGTTTATTTGTAAACTACAAATATCAAATAATAATTTTTTTACTTTATACAAAGAAAGGAGAATTGATATTTATAGAACATATCTTGAGCTTCTTGAGCTACTTCTAAATCCATATTCGAATAAACTCATTTTTAATCATTTAAAAAAAAATTTACGTTACACCATTTCCGTTTTTTTTTTGTGACCGGTAAAATTTATTGCTTCCGATAAATTTCAATTGGCATTTTGCGCCCTGCCTGTATGTGATATGCAGATCACAAAAAAAAATCACATATAACCAACCAATCAATATATGATTTTCTTAGAATGTCGCACACCCCAGCGTTACATTTTAGTAGATAATTTCTAAATTTGTACTATACACGACGAAATTTCAACACTGCTTTTTAGTTGCGATGTTTTTAATGTTTGTATGAAAGGAAAACAGGTAGAATTCTTATAAGGAACTTTGCCGCCTGGAACATCTTGGTCATACGTAGTTTGAAGATCCCTGAATTTAAAACTTCCAAAGTTTGACATGATGTGACACAGTCTGGAATAGAGATGTCAACCAGATATTTCACTTTCTACTTGTATAATAATAATATATATATGTAAAGCACGCACAAATCAATTTGAATATAACTATATATACATAACAATATAGATTTTTTTATTTTTTCGATTAAAATTTTTGTTTTTTTTTGAAAAATTGTTCGTTTTAAATTCATTTTTAATAAATAAAATAATTATAATTATAATAATTATAAAATAAAACTAATAGTCCGATTGTCTTTTTAAACATTCAATTACGAATAATTCCGTTAGCTTTCATTATTCTACCATCAGAAGACCAAACAACGACACCTTCCTCAAGTTCTTTTTTCCATAGGACACCTTGAATCTGAAAAGTCCAAAAACTCCACCAACAAATCATCAAAACACCGGCAATAATACTAACTATTAAAGTACAGATGAAACCAGGAAATTTGGGTATATCAGTTTGATAAAAGAGAAATTCATTATAATTGTTGTTGTTGTTATTGTAATTGTTGTAAAAGTTGTTAATATTATTATTAATGTTTAATATGAATGGTATTAGTGTTGATGATATTGATGATGAGAAGGATGACGAAAAGGAAGATGAGGATGATGATGAAGGTAATGATGAATGAATTAATGATGATGACGATAACGATGATGTGGAAGTTAGATGAAATAAACACTTAAATATTTCCCAAGTAAGGATCCATCCTGGACCTAGACAAACAACGCTCCAGATACGATAATAAATCAAAGATAATATAGAATCTTGTAACAACACTAAATATTCCCATATTATTATTCCCCAATGATTTCTTCTAATTGTCATTATTAATATAAAAGACATCATTGGTAAATATGTTGATAACCATTTACCATGCATAAGAAATGGTGAAACATATATTGGTGTAGATGTTAATAGATAATAATTGTAATTTAACATTAAAAATGAATTATTTGCTAAAGATGTTGATTGTGACGACGACGATGATTTAATGTTACTATTGTTGTGATTGTTAAAATCAGATTTCGTAATTAGTAAACATATTATCCATCCCGACCATATTATCCAAGTTCCATAAATTACAAATAACTTTTCAATTTTGAATTTTTTAAAAATATTTGATAATAATGTAATAATGTGAAAACATGTACTGGCAATGTAAACTAATTGAGTGAACGATGAAATCGTTCTAGTAGGTGTTATGTATAATGTGTAAAGATGTTGAATTATAATTGATAGATGAATTAGAAACGTTGTTTTTGTATAACTCGAATTACTGTATTGAAACATAAAATTAGTAAAGAGTACAGGAATAAATTAATTAGTTTTTATCATTGCATTGCCTTAATATTACCACAATAATATTATTATAATTATCGTTTTATAATTATTGTATTATTAACCGATTAAGTATAAATAATGATAATATATTAATACGTACATTTTCTTTTCGTGCATCATTATAGGGATTCTTTTCTCTTTATATCGATCGGTTTTAGATGTTTCTTGACCGTAATGATAATATTGGCGTTGCTGTTGTTCTTGACTATGAAATTGACGACTTTGATATTGCTCCTCTTGCTCTTTTTGCCGTTGATGTCTTTGAGGTGGATTGCTGTTACTATTATTTACACTATCGTTATAAATGTTTGATAATGGTATATTTTCTTTATTTTTAGAATGTCTTGTTTCGCTATTATTTTTATTGTTGTTATTAGACCTTAGTTTCTTTGTTAAAATGTCATTTTTTGTTGAGAGATGATGTTTACAATGATATGATTGTTGTTGTTGTTTCAACGAATAACTATTACTGTTGTTGATATAAGTAATAGTGTTATCTTTGGTAGGCTGTTCTTTTATTAATGCTGTCATTGGAGAAAATCCGTGTAGAAGTCGTAATCGTAACAAAATCAACATTAGACAAAAAAAAGAAATATATATATAAAACCAAAAGGATTTATTTTATATTTATATCCAATTAATAAAAAAGATAAGCTAAACAACAGGTTATCCTTTTTATTTATTTATTTTATAGTTAGTGGTTTGATTTATATAGTTTAAAAAAAATAAAAAATAAACTTTATGTGTGTATGTAGTATATAATAAATATGTTGTGTGAATGTAATGTAATAAATAATATATAATCTTTAAAAATTATATCTATTGATTATTTTTTTTTTCCTCGACCTTTTTTTTATTTTGTACAAGAATTTGTCATACTAAATAATAATAAAAAAAATTTTTATTAATATTATGCAAATCACCTTCACATGTTAAATCACCATATCATATGTAAAATAAAAATTTTTTTTGTTAAACATTTTTATATTAACCTTACATCTATATTACCCCCCAGACATAATGAACAAAGTGAACATAACGCCACAAAATAATTGATGTGGTACAAATTGTTTAATGCCACAATTGTAGTGGCTTGAATAATCGGTGGTACATAATATTAATACAGTTAGGTATTTTACTCGATATGGAAATACTAAATACTGTAATGATCGACGTTATGAAAAATTCAAAAAGAAATTTTGATTGGCTAAATTCAGCCGGGATAATACAGTCAGGAATTTTGCTAAATCGGGATGTGTAACAAACAATGTTCTAGAAAATTTTTCCCCAATAAAATTTCGTA